AAAAAATGGAAATGAGGTCTTTGTAAATAGGGAAGGGTAGAGGGCCTGAAGGGAGGGCTAGGAATAGGGAAAAAATAAGAACCAAGATGCATTATGTAAAGGTACAATTCCCAATGAGAAATGTAATTGTGCTGTATACCTAAAAGGTACCAATAATAGAATTTAACAAAAAAAATTAAAAAAAATAAAGACAGTGCTGCAGAAAAGGTGAGGGTTTGTGACTGGAAAGAAAAAGGTCCAAAAGTAAGGTAGTGATCCAATCAAGAGGCAACACAGCAGAATTCTGCTAATGGTGGGTGGTGAAGGTGGGAAGGGGTTCTCCTCCAGAAGGACGTCTCAGGTGGGGGATAGGAACTGACCTTTGAGGACTGAGAAACAGAGCAGCTGCAGCCTGTGGTCAGCAGGATTCTGGGATGTGTTCCCATCCCTTTCCCTGCCTTTCTCTAAAGAGCCATGCTGTAGCTCCCTCCAGGAAAATAAAGGACACAGGCTGTTTAACCCTCACTTATTCTACAGGAACAAAATCTTGAAGGGGCTTAATTGCCAGTAGACCTGTCTTATAAGAAACACTAATGGGAGTTCTTCAAGCTAAAAGAAAAGGGTACTAATTAGTACCATGAAAACAGCAAAGTGTGAAATTCACTGGTAAAAGTAAGCACAGCTAATTAGAATCCACTAATACTGTAACAATGGGGTATAAATCTTTAGTGTGTAGGTTATCTTTAGTATGTAGGTTAAAATGACATAGGAGAAAATACAACTCTCAACATGTTAGATGTCAGATGTGTCAAGTTTGTGTCCTCTGAAATTGAAGAATGAACTTTAAAGGATGTCTATAATAAAAAGGCAAAACTATTATGAAAAATAACAATAGCTATCATAATTTGATAAAAGGGTATGCAATATAAAAAGATGTAAACTGTGACAAAAATTCAAAATGTAGAAACGTTTTTATTTATTTATTTATTTTCTGATACTGAGGATCAAACTCGGGACCTTATGCTTGCGAGGCAGGAGGCAGAACCACTGAGCTAAATCCCCAGCCCAAAATGTAGAAATGTTAATGTAAGTTTTTTATCATCAGTCACATAAAATGATATGGAAATCCCTCAAAAAATGTAAAATAATTAACTATGTGCTCCAGTTACCCCACATATGGGTATAAAAAATTAAATCTGTGTGTGGATGAGATATTTGTGCTCCCGTGTTCATTGCAGCACTATTTGCAGTGTCTAAGATCTGGATCAACCTAAGTATCTCTAGACTGATGAACAGATAAAGTCAGTGTGGCATGGATTCATGATGAAATACTATTTAGCCCTAAAAAGGAGGAAATTCTATCATTCACAACAATGTGCATGAACCTGAAGGATACTGTTTTCAGTAAATGAAGCCAGGCATAAAAAGATAAGTACCACGTTGTTCTCATTTATGTGTGGGATCTAAAGTCAGTTTCCTGGAAACAGAAACTAAAATGGTGATTACCAACAGCTGAGGGATAGGCAGGCTGGGGAGAAGTTCAGTGGGAACAAAATTGCCATTAAGAGAAATGAGTTCAGAAGTCCTAATGTACAACATAGTGACTATAATAACATTACATTGTATGCTTTAAAAGTGTTAAGAGAGTGGATTTCAAGTGTTCACACTGTAAAATACAAGTATGGGATGTAATACATACATTACATAGCTTGATAAGCAATTCCACAAAATACACATATATCAAAATATCATCTTGTACACCATAAATATATACATTTTTACTTGTCAACTGAAAAGTTTTTTTCAAGAAAATAAGTCTCAAATTACCAATCTAAGATATTACATCTAGAACATAGAAAAAGAACAAAATACACCCAAAGCAGATAGCAGGAAAGATACAAACATACAGAAATAAGTGAAATTGAGAACAGAAGAGTAGAAAAAATTAATGAAACCCAAAGTTTGTTCTTAGAAAAGATTATTAAAATTAACAAACCTCTATCAAGAAGGCCAGAAAAGATTCAAATTAATAATATCAAGAATGACGGGCTGGAGATTTACCTTAGTGGTTCCACTGCCTGCCTTGCAAGCACAAGGTCCCAAGTTCGATCCCTGGTACCAAAAAAAAAAAAAAGCACAGTAACTCTGTAACTTTTAAGAAAAATTGAATGCATAATTTTAAAAGTCCCCCCAAATAATTTTTAAGTCCAATTTATCTCACTGGAAAATGCTACCAAACATTTAAAGAATTAACACCAAGAAGAATTATACACAATTTCTTCCAGAAAAATAAAAGAAGAGGAAATACTGCTTGATTCATTCTATAAAGTTAGTATTACCCTGCTCCTCAAGGCAGAAAAAAACACTACAAAGAAAACTTCTGACGAATATTCTTCCTCCAATAGTCATACAAATCCTTAACAGAGTATCAGCCAATAGAATTCATCAGGAAGTAAAAAGAATTATGCACCATTATAAAATGCAGCTTATGCAGGAGATGCAAATCTGGTTCAGTATTCAAAAGCAATCAGTGAAATCAACTGAATGGATAGACCAAAGAATCACACAATATATGCAGAAAAGGAATTGGACAAAATACTGCACCCATCCATAATACAAAAATTCTTGGAAAAATTAGAAGGGAGGTTAACTTCTGCACATTGATAAACACATTTACAAAAAGCCTATGCTAAACATGATGCTTATGGATAAATACTGATTACCCCTCCCCAAACTGGGAATTAGGTAAGAATGCCTTTTACCATTCCCATTCAATATAGTGCTGAGAGGTTAGCCAGCAAAATCAGCAAACAAGGAAATAAAAGACATACGGATCAAAACAAAGGAAATGAAACAAACTTTATTTGCAGTGACATGATTGTCCAAGTAGCAATTGCTAAGGAATTTGCAAACAAATCTAAAATCCCCCAAACTCTCCTAGAGCTAATGAGTTCACCAAGGTTACAGGATACAATTGTACTTTTATGTACTAGCAATGGACACTAAAATGAAAAATATCTTTTGGAGTCTCAAAAATAAATATTTAGACTGAAATCTAACAGCATGTATAAGACTTACATGCTGAAAACTATAAAATTCAGATTAAATCAAAATCGAAATGGGTAGAGAGAATTACCGTCTATATGGAGTAAAACACTGAATACAGTAAAATTAACAGTAAGAACATCAATTCTTCCCAAGTGATATACAGGTTCAAGGTAATCCCAGCAAGATGTTTTGTAGTTATGGACGAGATTATTCTAAAGTGAATATGGAAAAGCAAAGGAACCAAAATAGTTAAAAACAATTTTGCAAAAGAAAGAATGAGAAGTATCAGTCTCCCCAGTTTCAACACTTACATCTACAGTAATCCGACTGTATGTGGTAGTGGTGGAGACACGGAGAACAGTAGGACAGGACTGAGAACCCAGAAATAGACCCGTCCAAATAAGCCAAACTGATTTTTTCTTTACAAAGACACAAATCAATAGAGGAAAGATAGCCTTTTAACTATGATTTTCGAGAAATAAGATAATGAAAGCTTAGAAAAATAAAGTTTGACCTAATTCTCATGGCTTATACAAAAGTTAGTATTTCTGCCCAAGTGACCAGGGAAAACAAATGAAAGTATAATTTGTTTGATATTTAAAAAGCACAGAAAGGTAAATAAATTGGGGGGGGGGTATCCTTTTTAAAAATTAGAAAAATCCATACTAGGAATGAATATGGGACAAATTATATCATAAATATCTTTGAAAGTATTAACAGCTACACAAAGCTTTCAAAGCAAAGAGTAGCAGAATAAAATGTTTTAATTAAAAGTCAATGAAAAGGTAGGGGCTATAGCTCAGTGGTAGAGATTTTACTATCCCCAGTTTCACAAGTAAAAGGAGAAGAAGAGAGAGAGAAAAAAGAGAAAATCAGTAAAGGTAAAGTGTACAGTTACCCAACAAGAAGTATATATTAATCACCCATGCAGAATTTTAGGTTTGTATGCTGATAATCATGTATTAACAGCCCCTAAGAAAAATCTAGGATTTCACTAATGTTATCAATTTATTGTATGTTTACAATAAAAACTTAGAAATGCAATGAGTTGCTTTGTCAGTTTTCTGAGCAAAACTTTGAGGACACTATCAGCAAAACAGAAAAAAAAAAATAGTCCTGCTTGTTAAGTACACAAATTCAGTAACAGTAGGGAGAAATCTTTAACAGTAAACTTTAAAGAAAAAAAAAGATCCAAGTAAGCAGTTTTATGGGAAAACAATATCTGATGCTTTTCTAAGTATATTTCTAACATCATACCCTTTAATTTCCCCCATTAACTCTGAAAAGCAGGTACTAAGTGGCCCAGTTTCACAGATGAGCAAACTGAGGCTCAAAGGAACCAAGTAATTCATCTGAAATCCCCAGGAAGGAAGTAGCAGAGCTGAGATTTGAACCCAAATTCTTGCCACCCTTTCATTTGTTAATAATTAAGGTAGCGATCATGTCACTAAATAAAACCCACAGAACTATTAGAAAAATCAGGAGCTACTGGGCCGAGGTTGGTGGGCTCCTCTTTTCAAGCTGTGGTTGGGGAAATGAAACACTTTAGGGTGTGATGTGAGTTCATTTTGTGAAGTCGGATTTTGACTTTTGTCAACCCTTTATCCTTTCAAGTTTGTCTTCTAAGTTTTATCACTAAATGTCAGTCCTTTAAGTATGGAATATGTTATCTATTACTAAACCAGGGAAACTTCAAATGGTTTTGTCTGCTTTCACTGACTATAAATTCCATGCTGGAAATCCCCGTGGAGGTTTAAACCATGACCAGTGACCCCAGGATTTCCCAAACCACACACAGAGCTCCCCTAGACTGGTGCTTTGAAGGTGAGGACGCTGAACTATGCATCTTGTATCAATACCGTGCTGTGCTGTGAGGAATGGATGGAAACTGTCTTGAAATAATGTTTTTGTTTATTTCAGCAACTTATGATGTTGGAATTGAAGAACTCCAAAAGGTATTGTGTCTTTTTCCCATACCAAGGTTGTCACTAAAACAAGTGTACAGCTTTGATGAAGAGTACTTTTTTTGTGAGAAAGGAATAGTCTAGTTTTGGTTTTCCCCCCATTCATCAGGGTTTTCCAGACTCCCAGGCTATGATTCCGGATCCTGAGTCCTATAATGTCAGATTCAGAAAATGTATAATAAAATAGTAGATAATCTGACTACTCCTGTCACCTTACCTGTGGCAGCCAGTGCCAACCAACCTTTAATAATTCTCCCTTCCACAGGGCAAAGTCCCATGGCATAATCCACATTTGTGGATCTTGTGCTTATAGGAAAATGACCAGACCCTTGAAGGGATATTTTCTGGGCTACTGCTGAGTGCAGGCCCAGGTGTTACCTGGGAGGCAGTGTAGCATTTCGCTTAGGGCCCAAGTGGAATCACTGCTGGCCTTGATCACAGTGCCTGACTGCATGATCTCAGATCCTCATTTCCTCACTTAGAAAAGAGAAAGCATCCAGGGCCCTTGTAAGGTTAAAGGAAAGGTAAATATAAGGTGGACACAGGTAAATGTTCTGCTAGTCAGAGCCTGGGACAGAGCATCTCGCCTCTCTGTACAGTGGAGTATTCTGCATGGGGAAAAGAAACATCAGTCTTGTTACTCTATCTGCAGCAGCAGATGCTTAATAAATAAAGGGGCCAGTACTGACTTCACAGAATTGCTGACAGAACTACATCAAAGTGTAAGCACTTAGTACAGTACCTGGTTCACAATAGGCACTTAACTAGTGTTTTCACGGGGTCAGTTAAGTCTCTACTCTGCTCGCTGGGTACATTTAGTCTAGATCCTTTATCTCTGCTTCAGTTTTCTTCTGCTTGCTGCTAAGGATCGTTCACTTGTACATACACTTTGTAGCAGGAAAAAAAGTTTACTGTTTTTATTAACGGGAGTAGAAACAATCTGCTAAAATGCTTCACTTACCTGGCAAATCAACAAACAATACACTGGTCTGCTCGAGTGAATCCTCCAGATGACTGGACCTTACTTATCCCTTTCAAATAAAAAAGGCATATGAGTATTTTTGATTTTTAAATCTTTTAACCGCCAATCATTTTTTATATTCATCTCTGCATTTTGCAGCAGGGTAAGTGGGATCTGATTTTATCCTTTCTGGATGACTTGGAGTATTCTTGAGTATCTCACTAAGTAGACAGCTCTTAACAGATGCTCTTGGGCCCTTACAGACAGCTAGTTGCCTTCACACCACTCACAACTCTGGCTTCTGTGATTTTCTTTCTGACAGTGATCACATCTAGCTACTGTGTCCATCTTTGTGTGCAGCGATGCTTATCATCTGGTCAAGCAAGCACCTGCCTTGCTGTGTGCGGGGCACTTGTATCCACAGGGAGCACATAATCCTCACAGGCAGCCTGGGAGCTGGTATTGCTGCTTCCATGTTGTAGGGGAGAACACGGGGACTCAGAGACATGAAGTATCCTGAAGGGAACTTGGCAGACAGGTCCATCAGACTTGTCTCTCTACCAGGGCTGCCTCTCACTTGCTAGAATCATGTGTCAAATAAGAGCTAGTGGTCTCTGAATGAAGGCCTGCAGTGCTCTCCTCCAGGGCCAGTGAGTAGATGAGCTCTAATTCCTAGATTTTACAGCATTATTTTTGATGTTTATTTTGTGTTTTCTTCAGTGTTTGGCTAGATTCCAAATAAACAGTGGCATTAGATATGTGACCACCAGACAGGTCGGGGTCTCTGCTGTGTCCACTGGGGTGTAGTTTCAGTGGAACCAAATCTAGACAGTGTGAGAGCTCAGTTTGAGTCACAGGGCACATAATCAGGAAGGAAGAAATCCCACCAATTTGCCTGCTGAAACATTGCTAGGACACCACAACTGCATATTTCCGCATATGACTTAGAAGTTCTTTATTCTACACATGCAAAGAGCATGCAGAGAAAGGTGTGCAGAGAGCAGTTTGTTTCTAAGTGCAGGCATGCATCTCCTCAAGCACAGGGTGTAACTTCAGGAATGCTTGTTTCTTTTATCATTGGTCTCCAGCCCCATGACAATGGTGACAGTTCTCAGAACTTTCTGCCTCGGTTTTGTGCCCAGACCTCACCCCTTGCCTGCTGGTCTAGTCTCCTGATGATCTGTAACTGAACAGAGCCTGATCTGGGGAGATTATGACAATGACACTTTTCCTCTTTACTTTCAGCCTTGGAAGAGTTTTCTCCATCAAGAACTTCGGTGAGTTTTATCTTCAAGAAGGAAAGTGTTAGTCTGGCCAGGACCCTCTCACGGCTGGGGCGGTCTTCCCCTGTGCATCAGTCATGCTCCCAGTGCCAGTTCCCAGCTGGTCCAGTTTCCTCTGCACCCTGCAGCCGTGTGATGCAGACTGCATGCTCGGCGATCCCGTTCCGCCTTCCTCTCTGACCCCAACCTGGCCCTGCTGTGCTCACTTAGCAAAGGCTGGCTGGCAAGGCAAAGGGGAGCAAAGAAAGCTCCTAAAAAGACAGTTCTAATAGAACACAGAAGGACAAGGTGTTAGAGGAGAAGGGACCCCGTGTATGACAGCTTGGGACGATCAGGGAGGGATTCTCAGAGGTAGGATACTCTAGACAAGAAGTGTCTTATTTGTCAGCAATTTCCGATTGAGAAGGTAGATCCAAAAATAATTATCTAATAAAAAAGGAGAGTTGCTCAAAGAGGTCAGTGGGTTTGGGTGACTGTGAGAGTTTAGACTCAAGTATAAGTGGAAAGAAGGAGAAAAGAGAGATGGGGTTGGAAAGAAAGATAGTGACTTAGAAGGGTTTAAGCAGGAATTGACACTCTGGCATGGATTGGAGCAGGTAAGCTTTCTTTGTGGCTAATCTGATCCTGATCTCTTATCTTAAAAAAGGAAAAGGAAAAGATCCATATCTATTAAAGGTCATTCTTCTCATTCATTTCACTTAGGACTGAGTAGGGCAGTATTTGGTGCTGGGGAGGCCACGGCTTCAGGCATGCTAAGCACAGGCTCGACCACTGAGCTATGCCTTAGTTGCCGAGCAGTGCACTATTATCTAAACACGCGAATTTTTACTTTTTCCTTGGCATCTCCATACATTGTAGCCCTAAACGTGAAGATGAAGATAAACACATGAAGGAAAAAGACCCATGTGGATTGGAACATCAAAATTCAGAACAGGATCCACATTCAAAGCATCCTTTCAAGGTACCTGGGTTCCAGGGTTCCTGGGCACATGGTATGGTTCAGATGTGTGACAGGGTCTGGGCAGGGGGTGACATTTGCAAGACTAAGACAAGCAGCTCTCCAGGGAGACAGAGTCAGAGGATGCAGTAGGTGTTGGGTGCATTATCAAGGGCACAAATGTGCAAAATCGCTGAGCTATAGCTGCAAGCTTTCCACTTATTTCCCAGCAAGGGGCCTTGGAAGCAGAGTTGGAGCTAGAGCAGGTTAAGCAAAGCACCTACCTAGAGTGCAAGGAACAAAGACAGTCACTCTTAGGGACCATCTATCTTAGTCCATTTTCTGTCCTGCCTGGGCATGTTAAAAAGGATAGAAGTTCCTCTGGCTGGGAAGTCCAAGAGGAAGTACAAGTATGGTACCGGCATCTAGTGAGGACCTTCTGGCTGCTGTGTAGCATGGCAGAGGGTATCCCATGGAGAGACAGCAAGCAAGCCAGAGGGCCTGGTACAGCAGTCACTCCCTGGTTCCCACTGAGGTGAGATAGACGCCCCCCCCAGAGGCCCCACCTCCAAATACCATTAACATACACGTCTGGGGACTAAGTTGGGGGACACATCCAAACCCTGCACTTGCCCACCTTGGAGTCAGGAGAGCCTTAAACTTTGCGTTCTAAGGTCCTACTTAGAAGAGTCTGTTCCTGAGTGTGATCATCTTAGCAGGAAACTGAGAATGCGTGACCCTCACTCAACTGCCATCTCCACTCACATCCCAGTTCTACCTTGTTCCCAATGATACAGAAATAATGTGTGTGTAAGCACTTTGTAAGACATAACACACCCTAAAGGTGAGATGTACTGTTCCATTATCCATGTGAGATATGTAGATGTGTGTGCGACAGCGTCTCCAACTGACACTTTCCCCTTCAGTGTAGCGGTAGGAAGCTTAACTGGAAACTGCCAGAGTTACTGTCAGTGCTGAAGCATTGGAGATGCTGTCTCGAAATGGTTTCTCTTTTAGTATAAGATGGTCCCAATGCTACCTGCAGGGCTGGGGTAAATTGAACAGCATAGTGGTGGTTTAGGCCAGAACTAGTGTTTAGGCCCAGGGACCAGGGTGGACGAGGTTAGGTGTAGAGAGACTATCACAGAGCAGTGTAATTCAGAGGGTAGAAAAGTCAGTGATTAAGAAAAACGGGATCCAGAGCCAGGGAGCAGCACTGGGTATCAAGGTGGGGGTGGGGGGAATGTGATGCCACGTATGAGTATTGATAGTGGAGTCCAGGAGGGGGCAGATCCAGAGCATATGAGAAGGAAGTAAAGAAACCTAAGGATATAGACCATAAAAAAGCAGGGGTAGGCTCTTTTTCATTGCTGGCTAAATGGAAGAGCCAGGTATGGGGTCAGGCTACCACTAAAAAGTTTTTCCTTTATGGAGTGGGTTGAAGTTTAGAAATTCCTAAGAGTTATTCTTTTGTTAGAAGTATGTTAGGTGGATGGAGTGGAAAGTGTAGCCGGCTAGTGGTCTGTGGGTTAAAACACACAATCCGGTGTGATTCAAGCTATCTCTGCAGAAGATTCCCAAGGGCAGCCCTAAGGCAATAGTGCCCTGCTTCTCTAAGGGCTCACACTGAAGGAAGCTGGTCACTGTGTAAAACACTGTCTTCATCACTTCATTGTCACTTTTCCCCCATTTAAAAAATTTCAGTTTTGGCTCTGTGATTTAAAAGAATGGCCTTCCTCTTATTCTCCACCCAGTTTGCCCACGATCCCACCAAAAACTCAGGATAATTCATGCTTTATATTGGTTAATTCCATTAGCTTTTTCCAAATACTTTCAAATATGACATCATGGTCTACCCTCACGCCTCCTTTCGTATGGTGAGTAAGACAGTAATGTCTCTCTCATTTTCATTTGGCAATTAGAACACACTTAGGTGGCAAAACATGGTCTCATTTTTCTCTCTCCACTATCTCTTCCAGCCAATCTAGCTAGGTCTTTCTGAGATAGAAATCTAATCAGGTTTTTCCCTGCTTGGCTTCCATAACTAAGGAATAAAGACCAGACTCTCTGCCTGGCACGTAAGACCCTTTGTAACTCAGCCCTATGTTTTGTCTTTTAGCCTTCTCTCCCCTCTTTCTCCTGTCTTCTCCCTGATTTCTTTCACTGCTTCCCTCAGCAGCAGCCTCCACACTACCTGGTGAGGCCACTAATGCTTTTCCAAGTACCCCATGCATGCGCTCATGCTGATTCATCTGCAGGTCTTCCTTTGTCCCCTCCATCAATCTCTGACCTACATTGTTCACAGCACACTTTAGTAAATCCTGCTTTTTGAAGTCTTCCCCAGCTCCATCTCGCAGTCAAGAGATTCACCCTCCCTGTCCTGTTTCCATGTGTGCTTGGCAAACACTGGAGGGAGGAAGTACAGAGAGAAGGAAGAAGGAACAGAAGAGTGGTGGATGGAAAGACAGTGTCAAGCAAACAAGAAAAAGAGAAGGCATGCCCAGCTTCCTTGAGCAGTCAGGAGCACAGGGTTTTGAGGTCAAGTCCCTCCTCTGTGGATCACTAACCGTGAGACCTGAGACTGGCCATTTAATCTGTCTAAACTTTATCAAGAGGACTGATGATCTAATGATATCTCCCTGGTGATGGGTGGTGTTGTGATGGTTAAGTGAGATTGGTTATATAAAGAGCTAGCCTTATAGCCCCTGCTGTGTTGTATCCTTTGGGCCTAACTCAATCCCGGGCACTGACTGGCCATTCAGAGGCAAATGAAGGACACAGCATGTGCCCTTGTAAAACCGGGAGCCTAGTAAGACAACTTTAAATAATGAACAATAAATAATAAGTGACTGTTGTCCTTAAGGAGTGAATGAATGAATAAAGAACAGCACACATAAATAAGGAACAGATTGGATAGTTACCCTCCCTGTTACATATGTAGGTAGACGTTTATGAGGTGACACCAGAAGACATCCAGATGACTACCAGCCACGGAGATAGATGGAGCACGGTGGCTAGACAGCAGGAAACCATGACTGATGAAATAGAAGCAAAGGCCTGTCCTGAGGATATGGACCTGGTCAGGCCCTCCCAAGGCCAGGGTAAGTGTGTTTGTTCCTGGTCTTTTTCACCATTGCCAAGGTTTTATTTTCCAAATATTTACTGAACATCTATTATGTTCCAAGTAACTAGCCCTAGTGAGGTATCTTCAGTAGTAGAAAGAGCACTGAATGAGGAACGGAAGACTTGAATTCAAATCTACACTCTAATACTTCATAGTTATGTAGCAAGTGACTTTATATGCCTGCAGCTCAATTCTTCATTTATAAAAGTGATCATAACATGGGCCTCACAGGGTTTGTCTAAGGCCCAGCTCTGATGGTTGTCATATGATGGGTACTCAGCAACTGTTTATTCTTTTCTGTTTACAACTAGCCTGTTATCTTTGCAGGATCATTCCATCAACATTCTGGTAATGTACTAGCATTTGGTGACTTTGCTTAGTTGTATTTTACCTTCTTCAAGATTCTGGACTGCAAAGAGCAGTAATTAAATCATACTCAGTTGAAGCAAGTAGTTAAAGGAGATCTACCTAGTAGAACGTGTAGGCATGGCAGGATCCAGGGACATGAATAAAATCCCAAGGATTCAGGTTCACTTCTCTCCCTGGCTTTGCTCTTTTCTTGTGGGCTCCATTTTCAGGCCGATTCTACCCTTGGAGAAAGAAGAAGGATCCAGCAGTGCTGAGCTTACAAGTCATGCTCTTGTAAACCCCAGCGGGAACTAGAAAGTTCTGTCTTCCCAACAGCTATAATAAAACTGAAGATCAGAGTCTTATTGGCTTGGACTGGGGCATGTGCCACCCCTGAAGCAATTATAAAGTATAAGGGACACAGTGCTCTGATTGACCTGGCCTGTATCATCTCCTGCTGGAGCCAGGGGTAGAATCAGCTCGATCATAGTGACATAGCATTAGATTGAGGATTCCCCAAGGAAAACAAGGCAGCTCCTATTAGGAAAAAAAGCGCATGCTGGGTAGATGAAGAAAACAGATGTCCATTCCAGCCCGATAAGCCTTGGCAAGCCACTGACATTTCATAATGTGTTACAGTCAGAATGTATTACCGTCAGAATGGGAAGAATAAATTTCAGTGATCATGAGATGAACTCAAAGCCTCTGAAAATCTGCCTCCAGCATAATTGGCCTCATCTGTTGCACACACCTGTCCTCCTGCATACTTGGCTCTAGTCTCCATTTGCTGGCCATGCCGTATGTTTATGGGCCCTACCATTTTGCTCCATCTCTTTCCACTATCTGGAATGCCTCTGACCATTCCCTGCCTGCTGGTCTCCTGGTCATCCTGCAATTCCATCCCAACATCACTTCCTCTGAGGCCTGCCTTATCTTCAGTCCATGTTCCTGTTTCCCACTCTGCAGGGACCATAATTCTCCTCCTGTTTCCATGACACTTACCCAGCAACAGAATGACCATATCTCCACAATAAGGAAGCAGAGTGAAACATTTCTGAGCCCCAGGGCCACTACTCTAATCCTGTAACCTTAGGAAATTTACTTAATTTCATGTGCAAGCGGAGGTAATACTTATTTCCTAGGGCAGCTTGTCAGCACACATAAAGCATCTGGTTCATAGGGTAAATACCCATTAGTTCTCTTCATTTATTTTCCTTTTTGAAAAATTATATCATGTCTTATGTCTTAGTTTCACAATGCCTGACACCCTCAAGTTAATGGAGGAGAAGTTTATTTGGCTCACCTTTTGTAGAGGTTTCAGTCCATAGTAAGATCCAAGGCAAGGTGGCTTGGCAGAGGAGAAACAGTCCATGGTGTGGCAGGCAGGAAGCAGAGAAAGACCAAGGGAGGAGGAGGGATATTATACCCTCCATGCCATGCCCACAGTGACCCACCTCTTCCCACCAAGCTTCACCTCCCAACATCACACCCAGCCACAACATCATAGCCAGTGGACTAATCCAGTATCACACACCCATGATCCAGTCACCTCCCAAAAGCCCCACCTATAACCACATGAGGCTTTGGGGAACATCTAGATATCAGCCATAACATCTGACATTACAATTCATGATTGGTCTGTTGTCTCCCGATATAATGCGCACACCTCAACATCAGAAACCATTTGCTGTCTTTTTCTATGTATCTAACCTTGATGCAGTGTTAGCGTAATGGAGCTACTGAACAAAATTTTGTTGGGTAAAGGAATGAAAGAATAGATCAAACTTCAGTTTCTGACAGCATGGTAGATTGGACAATGTGAATGATTCTCTTGATTAAAACAAGTGAGGAATAAATTATTTAAGTGTTTATAAAAGTATTACAAAATTGATATAAAAATAAAGCATCCCTGGACCAGGGAACCTGGGAGATAAATGCTGAAGCTAGTGTTTCTCCTGACTATTTTATGGAGCACCATATCCCTAGGCTCCTTCTTACCTCCAGGATGTGAAGAGGATAGGAAGGAGCTACCAAAGCTGGTTCCTGATAAGCTGGGGCCTGGGTTAGTTTGTGTTTCATTACTGTAAACAAGAGCCTGGGATAATCAACTTGTAAGGAAAAGAGGTGGTATTCTGGCTTATAGTTTCAGAGGTTTCAGTCCATGGTCAATGGGCCTCATTGCCTTTGGCCTGTGTTGAGGTAGCAATCATAATGGAGAAAATGTGCTCATCCTATGGTAGCTGAGAAGGAAGGAGAGAGAAGAAGAGAAGCTGGGGTCCCACTTTCCCCTTCAAGGACACAGCTCCAGTAACCAGAAGGCCCTACCTCTTAAAAATTTCACCACTCCCAGTGGAACCAAGGGTTGGAGACACATATCCAAGCTACCACAGAACCCAAGTAGTCACACCTGTACTTGAAGAATGAACACTACCTTCACTGATCAGAGAGATTTTTTTTCCCCTGATACTGGAAAAATTGTGAAAATCTGCTCCCGTGAGCTGATCCTGATGCACAGCTGAAGTTTAAACCCACACTATCTGTACGATCCTAAAGTAAGGCGATTTAATCTACAATGGAATCGGCTTGATAGAGCTGTCAAACAGCTGGCAGAAGCAAACATAGATTTACCTTGATATAACCTATTTCTACCTAAATCTCAAATTATTCCTGCACAATATTCTTTGGAAAATTAAGTTTATAGTGAAAAAATACCCAAGTAAACAATTCATAGTGAAAACTAGCAGAGCATAGACAGAAGAACCAACTATAAGATATTGCAAATATTTGAATTATCAGACATAAAACATAAGACATAAAAATATGAACAGAGAACATGAAAAAATTTGAAAAAGTTTAAGTTGATATAAAAATACAATGAATACTAAATTATCCATAAGATTAGACATATATGAAGAAGAAACTAGTGAACTAAAAGATCAATCTAGAGAAGTTGTCCAGAATTCACTCCACAGAGGAAATGATAATAATGACAGGATAAGAATCACAGAGGCTGTAGTGAAGAGTCTTAACATTAAGTCAGAGTCTTGTAAAAGTACACTAGAAAAAAATGGGAAAGAGGAGATAGTACATAAGAAGAATATTCCAGAATTATTCAGAGATACACAAATCCAAGAATCCTAAAGTTCCAGGCAGTGTAAATAGAAGAAATCCACACCTAACTCTAAAAGAAACTGCAAACATTGGTGAATACAGGAGTATCTCACAAAACCTTAAAAGCAGAGAAACAAAACACAGCAATCATCTACAAAATACCAAGTAGGCTCAGTTCTTGGTGAGAGTGTTTAACCGGAACACAATTCTGCTGAAAGATACTGTCGTCTCCCCAGGTAATATCTTTCAAGAGTGAAGGAAAAACCAGGAGTGCTGTCGCACACCTGTATCCCAGTGTTCCGGGAGGCTAAGGCCAGAGAATTGCAAATCTGAACCCAATTGGGCCCCTTAGTAACTTAGCAAGACTCTGTCTCAAAATTTAAAAAAATAATAAAAAGGGCTGAGGGTGTAGCTCAAGTCCTAAGGTCCTGGCTTCAATCCTAGTACTACCAAAAAAGAAAAGAAAAAATGCAATGTAATTCAGACAAATAAAACAAGTATATATTTTTTTCTTTTTTATTATTTTACTTTATTAGTACATAATATTTACTTTCCTTGTGTGGAGTTGGTGCACGCACAGAACACATCTCAATTCCTTTTTTCATCCTTTACCCCTCCCCTCTCTCCCCTCCCTCCATCTCTGGATCCACTTCTCTGCTGAGAATGATCTACCTCCCTACTTCCTATTATCGATTATTTTGCTCTTTATTTTTGCTCTTGGTTTCTCATATCAGAGAAACAATGTGATATTTAAGCTTGTGTGTCTGATTTAATTTAAGATTATGGTTTCAAGATGCATTCATTTTCCTCCTCCAAATGATTCCACTTTATTCTTCTTCATGGTAGTGTGGTACTCCACTGTGAGTAAATACCTCATTTTCTTTACCCTTTCATCTGTTGATGGACATATAAGCTGCTTTCAAGATTTAGCTATTATGAATTTTGCTGCTTACAGCAAACATGTATATGAGTGTGCATGGATCACTGTAATATGATGTCTTTAACTCTTTCAGGAAGATACCTAGAAGGGGAATAGGTGAGTCAAATAGCATTACTAGTATTCATTTTTTATGGAAAAAAAAATGTGGGTTTTTTGGTACCAAGGATTGAACTCAGGACCTTGTGCTTTCGAAGCAGGCAGCGGCACCACTGAGCTAAATCCCCAGATCTCTAATATTCATTTTTTGAGGAATCTCCATACTGATTTCCATAGTGGTTGTACTAGTGGTTGTATATTCCCAACAGCAATATGGAAATGTTCCTTTTCTCCCTCGGCCTCTCCAACATTTGCCATTATTTCATTTGATGATAGCCATTCTTTCTGGATAAGATAGAATTTCAGTGTTTTAATTTGCATTTCTGTAATGACCAGGAATGTTCAGTGTTTCTTCATATTTATTGGTCATTTTTACTTCTGTGAAGTGTATTCATTTTGCATAATGATCACATTCATCATGGGAATTTGTACCTGTACATAACATATCTTCTTTTGTTCCCCATTCTCCTCCACTATGGTCA